CTTTCTCTTCACCCCATCATACATTCTCACCATTCTCATTATATGATGCTAATTATGGTGGAATGACACAACCATTCTCATTATATGATGCTAATTATGGTGGAATGACACAGCAACCAATGTCATACGTGAGCATGTTACGCAACCCATAAGGTTTGCTATTTCCCACAGCTAGTTCTCAAAGTAGTGGACCTAATCAATTTTCACCAAACACTGGGGATTCAGCAGAGAAGGTTATTCATGATGTTGATGGTGAGGAGCACACGTCACCAATAAAAAAAGGGAAAAAATTAGCTCATAAGAAATCGGGACTGGGGGCAAGGTTAAACTCAAGAGGTGTGGCTAATAAGTTTTGGCTTCCAGAGCACGATGACGTTCTCATTCCTTATCTTGCAGAATTAGCATTAGATGGGCTAAAGCCAGATAATAACTTCAAGGCAGAAGCTTATAAAATGGCAGCGATGAAAATCAACATGCAATTTAGGACTGATTTCACTCATATACATGTCATTAACCACTTGAAATGCTTGAGAAACAAATTCAATGACATGAAGGCTTGCCTTGATATAAGTGGAGCTGGGTGGGATGAAATAAATAAAATGATTACACTGGATGACGAAACCTTGAAATCGTGGTCTCAGGTATAACATTCAGCATCTACATTATTGTTAGTAATTAATACATTTGGTTCACAACTTATGATTATTTGTTGTTGCAGGACAAATCCAAATCTAAGTTCAAAGCGTACATAAACAAACCCCTACCTCACTTCAAAAATTTACAAACTATCATGGGTGATGACCAAGCTAAGGGTGAATTTGTTAGGCCTGTGTATGCTAACATTGGGTCTAGTAGGTCCATACCTATTCATGAAAATGATAGTGAAATTCCAGAGGAGAGTGGAACTACACCACAATCTGATGCTTGTAACCAACAACAACTAACTAGATGTAAGTCTAAGAGTAAAGACAACATGAATTCATCTTCTAACAAGAAACCTAAAAAATCAAATCGTGAAGAGAAAATGTTATGTGCCTTTGTTGACTCAATGTCTCAGTCCATAAGAAATCAACACATTGTTCATTGGACTGAGCAATTGGCTACAGCGTTGAAGGAACATAGGAATGAATACTCTGAGGAATTCCTAGATAGGATTTTAGATCACTTATATGACAATGAACGTGAAGCTAGAAGGTTTTTCATAAAAGGAAAGGAAGGTCAGCAGAGGTACATTACCAACCTGATTAATGACCAAGGTTGGTCTATTAACTAATTTGTGCGGTTTGGATTACATGTTGATGGAGCATTTTGTTGTGCACACGTATATGTTGTTGCGCATATATCATTTTGTTATTTGCAAACTATTAATGTTGCAATACTTCTTGTTATGAAAACGCTATGACGTCATGTAATTAATGAATTGGTACTTTTTAACTTTTGGTGCAGGTAAGTATGGATAGGCATGACCAATGAGCTCTTAATGTTGCTCCTTTGCTTTATTAGCTCTTTGTCTTTGGGTTTTTTTTGCCATCAGGTTTGTTACTGTTTTGTTCTTGGGTTTGTGTGGCTCCTTGAGTTTGGATTTGTGGCTGTTTTTTGGAGCTTGTGTAGCTCCTTGCTAGCTGGGTTAGTTGCTGCTTTTTTGGAGCTTGTGTAGCTCCTTGCTGCTGGGGTTGCTGATGTTTTGTTTAGAGCTTGTGTAGCTCCTTGCTAATGGGGTTGTTGTTGTTTTGTTTTTGAGCTTGTGTAGCTCCTTGCTAGCTGGGGTTTGTGCCTGTTTTTCCTCAGTTTTGCAGCTCCTGCTGCTGCTGGGTTTGTTGCTGTTTTGTTGCTGAGTTTGTGCTTGCAGGAGCTGGGGTTTGTTGCTTGTTTACCCCCTGTCTGCTGGGTTTGCTGCTGTTTTGTTCTTGGAGCTTGTGTAGCTCCTTGCTAGATGGGGGTTATGCCTGTTTTTCCTCAGTTTTGCAGCTCCTGCTGCTGCTGGGTTTGTTGCTGTTTTGTTGCTGGGTTTGTGCTTGCAGGAGCTGGGGTTTGTTGCTTGTTTACCCCCTGTCTGCTGGGTTTGCTGCTGTTTTGTTCTTGGAGCTTGTGTAGCTCCTTGCTGCTGGGGTTGTTATTGTTTTGTTTTTGAGCTTGTGTAGCTCCTTGCAGCTGGGGTTTGTTGCTGTTTCGTTCTGAGCTTGTGTAGCTCCTTGCTAACTGGGGTTTGTGCCTATTTTTCCTCAGTTTTGCAGCTCCTGCTGCTGCTGGGTTTGTTGCTGTTTTGTTGCTGGGTTTGTGCTTGCAGGAGCTGGGGTTTGTTGCTTGTTTTTCCCCATCATACATTCTCACCATGCTGCTGTTTTGTTTTTCCGAGCCTATGGGTTACTTGCTGTTTAGTTTTGAGCTTGTGCAGCTCCTTGCACTTGATATATGGCAATGATGATGATTAGCGTTTATTGAGAATGCAATCTAACTTACATCGTTTATTATATCCAGATGAGGCAAAAAGGGGATGAGATTGCAGCCTACATTGAATTGACAATGTCTAGGTGAGGCAATTCATCCTTATAATGCAATCTGTAATAAACATGTAAGTTATAGGTGGGGCAATCAATGATGACAAGTTGATCTATTACTGAGCCATACAATATCAATTAGAATTTGTACCCAATTCAAACAACAGTTTTCATTACATCCTCAATAGTTTTTGCAATTACAAGTACATGACATGAAGTTTGTAATAATTAAAATAACACAAAAAATTGCTAAGAAAATTGCAGAAATTTTCCAAGCTAGTAGTTGATTTTCGACAAGTCTCAATTCTTTCTTCAGCTTCTTTGATTGCAAAATATATTTATCTCCGACAAGTCTCAATTCTTTCTTCAGCTTCTTTGATTGCAAAATATATTTATCTCCGTACCTATTTTCTTTAACATATTGGCTTCCTTGGGTGCTTGATGACTCTCCTCTTTCTTCAGCCCATTCGAAAAAATTGTATTCTTTATTTGGGAATTTTGCACACCCCCAATAACACCTACCCTTATTTTTACCATTCTTGCACACTTTCATCGGTGTTCGGAGATTGCAGTCGCAATAAACTTCATAATTCTGCCAGCACTCTTCTGATATCATTTGCAGTCGCAATAAACTTCATAATTCTGCCAGCACTCTTCTGATATCATCCTTGATGTCGGGGCAGCAATTTGAAGAGCTTGAGAATTTTATTATTGCTGAAAAATGAAAATGATGGGATTATTTGTGAGGCCTCAAGGTGAATTTATAGCCACCATGGCCCTGAAATAGCCGTTGCTACAGTGATTTGCCTAAGAATATTGAAATCTGAGTTTTTAGATCTAGAAATAGCCGTTGCTACAGTGTTTGCTGCTTGAAATCTGATTTTGGGGGCTTAAATCCGTTGCTACAGTGATTTTTAAATGTAAATTGAGATAGCCATTGCTACAGTAACGATCCCAAGAAAAAGATTCTTCTTGAACCAAACATGGTATTAGGAATTGGACCAATTCTATAAGGGAGTGTTTGTTTCAAATCCTATAATTTTAGGATATGGATTTCACCATGGGATTTGAAATCCATAGGTGTTTTGTTATATGTTGAGATTTCTAAAATGTTGTTTGTTTCATTAATATTTTGGGATTTGAGATACTACAATTTGTAATATTTTTGTTTGTTTCAAACTTTTTAGGATTTGAAATCCTTAATTTGTCTAACACTTTTAAAATCCACCCCACATCCCACCCAAAAAAGAGGATTTCACAAATCCTTAAATATAATACTTTTTTATTATTTGGGGATTTGATATTCTAAAATTTGTTTTGAAACAAATAAGTTTTATGGAATTCTAAAACCCAAAAAAACTCACTTTTTGATCCTAGAATTTGAAATCCCACCCAAATGCCAAAATTTTTTTGAAACAAACACCCCCTAAAAGTAAGATTACTTATCCTTTGGGTGAAACAAACATTGAAAGCTAAAAAAAGTGGGATTCCATAAAACTAAAACTTGTCCATAAATTTTTTATGGATTAGGTTGGAATCCATAAATTAAATAGGATTCCTAATCCTATTCCTAGCCCTTGGTGAAACAAACAGCCCCTATGCTTACATATTGTCACGATCTTTTAGGGGGTGTTTGGTAATCTGAAAGTGAATTTAAAATATGTAAGTTACTTTTTTTTTTACAAATAACTTTTACATCCATGTCAGCACGCAAGTGAAATACAGTGTTTGTTTAAAAAATTAAATTATTATCGAAAGTGCAATATGAAGATGATGTGGCAAAATAAGATTAATTAGAAAATATAATTAAAATTATTTAATTAAATTAGTTACTTTTTTGTCACTTTCATGTGACTTCACCACTTTTTTAGGGGAAGTTAAAATTGCATTAAATCTTATGTGGCAACTTTCTTACATCTCACTTTCATAACCACTTACATGTAAACAAACACCTTAATTGTTAAATGAAAGTAACTTTCTTACTTTCATCTTTCACTTGCATGCAAACAAACACCCCCTAAATCTTCATAATCCAGAAACCTCGGAGGAGGAACGTTGGTAGTTGACGCGTCAGCTTTCGGGCAACGTTTTCTTTTCAACCCCACACTGAACTAACAAATTACGGAACCCAACACCCTGATCTCAGCAGTCTCGTACGTAGCCTCTTGCAAATTAAGAATTCAGTTACCCGTCAAATTCTGTGATCGCGTTCGGTTCCCGACATTTGAGCAGGCGTAAGTCCTTTTCTGTAAAAAAAAAGCAATTAAAACGAATATTTAATTCCAAGGGAGTCGGTAGGAAAACGTGAGTGTTTTCTTGGCCTACAAGTCAAAATCTCCACGAGGTTTTCCAACTTTATTTTCTCTTTTATTTGTTTATTTGCTCCCTTATTATTAGCTCACAGGCAATTACTTCGGATAAAAATCCTCGGAAGTGAGATCTCGAGAGCCCTCCTCTGTTTTCCTTTTGATTTTTGGTGCGGTATTTGTTGGATTTTTATGTTGAATTTACTTTAGCTAGTTTTTTTTTTTGTGTGTGTATTTTTTCCTGGTTTCTATTGGAAATTGTTAGGGTTTAGTTCTCTCTGGCATAAATGCACTTTTTTTTTTACTTCACGGTCTGCAATTATCATTGACTGCAGTTATTTTCCTTCTTTGTTCACTTCGAATTAACATATTATGAATATGTGGAAGTATAATTGTTAATAATTGCAGTCCTGAAACTTGTGTTTTGATTCATCTTATAGGCGTTATTTCTGTATAGCTGAATTCAGTTTATAGAAAAGTTCATTTTTTTATTTTGAACTTTTGTTCCGTCCTCACAACCTCTTGCATGCAACGGTGCGTACCGTTGTACTCTGTCAAATTTCCAATCGCCCTTCTCTTGTTGTATTCTGCATGCCCAGATGTTTGCAAGAGTAGTTGCTCTGTTTTTATCTTCTCATTACTAATTATAAATGTGTGCTCAATACCTCTTTGACCATATAATTTTGACATTAATTGCATTCTTCTGTTTAAAATTGTTAGAAGAGAGGCTCTAGAGGATCAGTTTGAATCATGGCTTGGTCAAGAATTGCTCGTGGAGCATTCAGATCGAATGGCATTTACCGATATAGCCTCCTTCCTAGTGCAAGACCTTGCTCTTCCTTGCTTAGACCCATCATGACAAGCAACATGGAACATCCTTGCAACATGGAAAATATGGGAGATTTCAAATTTGGAAGGCGAGGAATAACTACGACCCATGAATACCAATTTCCTTCAGCAGAGAGAGTTATCGAAGATGTTTCAGACTTGGAGGATAATGTCACCGGTGAGGACTTACCAGGATTGGGGCCTACAAAGATCGGAGAGAAGCCGAGAGTGGTGGTTCTTGGCACCGGGTGGGCTGGGTGCCGGTTTCTTAAAGAATTGGACACTGAGATGTATGATATAGTGTGTATATCTCCCAGGAATCATATGGTCTTCACTCCTTTGCTTGCTTCTACATGTGTGGGGACCTTGGAATTCCGGTCTGTTGCTGAACCTGTTAGCCAGATCCAGTCAGCTCTCGCGGGAGCTCCAAATTCGTATTTCTATTTGGCTAATTGCTCCGGCATTGACACTGATAAGCACGAAGTAAGTAAAACTTAGGATATCTTTCTTTGTGTGTTTAGTATTGTTGATTGGTAATTGTGAACTGGTGCCTGATATTCATATCCGTAATTTTTGTTAATAAGCATCGTGGATAATTATGTTAGTTTTGTATAGGCTTTCCAATTTAGTTATTTGCAAAGCTCTTTTGGTAGTTTGAGTGAGGATGAATATGAGAGTAGATAAAGAAACAAATTAGTTGTTTCTTGAGAAATGAAGGTTTATTTAGTAAGATTCAAGCTTGGTGCATGGTTGCCTGAGTTCGGATGAGAATTAGGATTATAGTTTGAAGGTGCATGTAGCATGAGGAGGAACAAAATTGGTTACAGCAGAAAGAATAACGTAAGGTGCTTTTGCTAACGAAACTGAGAGAACCCTATATTTGTGGATTTAGGTAGAGGACTATCAGTGACTTGGGCAAATGCTGGCGCATTTGGCAAATGTTTAAGGAAGAGAGATTAGGGAGAAGGAACTTTTTAATCCATTTAGATAAATAAGGTTTAAATTGGTTAACCCGTTGGGTGAGATTTGTTTAATCCTTATGCTCTGCTTTAGTTTGAGAATAAAGAGGATTGGTACTATTTTCTTTATAAATAAAGGGGTCATCTCTTAACCCGTCTAGAGGTTGATTAGCAAACCGCTCAAATTGAAGGATTAACTCATTTTAATCCCTGTAGAGTGTTTACCTTAACCCTTTGCATTAGGCAATTACTACAGGTTAACTCATTTTGTTCCCTGTGATTTTCTTTTTTGTGTTTGACAGGTTAAGGAAGGATTAACTTCCTTAACCTCTCACTTAGCCTTGTGCTAAACAAGACCTTATGCCTTAATTTCTAGAGCTTTGATCTTAGTCTTTCGTTTGTTCTCTGATAATTTCACATCCTCTAGGTATACTGTGAAGTTGCTGCAGGTGCTGGGTTACCGAGGGATCCATACCGCTTTAAAGTTGCATATGATAAGCTGGTAATTGCAGCTGGAGCTGAGCCTTTGACATTTAACATTAAGGGAGTCAAGGAGCATGCACTTTTCCTTCGTGAAGTAAATCATGCACAAGAAATAAGAAAGAAGCTATTGTCGAACCTTATGCTCTCTGAAAATCCTGGTAAGTAGAATTACTTACTGTGAGTAACTTCTACATGTCTTACTGTTTCTTCATGATCAAGAAACAATGGACAATTTACTTTCAGTGAATAATAATGTCTATTTTATTTTTTTATTTCTATGTTTATATCTATGTTACTTGGGTAGTTCTATCTGATGTCGTACCTGTACCGAACAGATACCCCTACTCGCACCGAAACTTCCTTGTACACCTCTTGGATATATGCATATATTTATTCGGTGATGTGCATGTTCTAAGCTAGAACACTCGTCATACATTTCTTGGGCATATATCCTGCACCTCACATCCACTTCCTGAATCTCGTGAACTCTTTGGACATGGCTCGGGTTTGGACATAGATCCTTTGAGTACATGGTTAAAAAACATACACTTTTCCAGTTTAATATCTGCATCATAAAAGAAGCATAGAGGATGTTATATAAATTTTATTCCTCATAACATGTGAATGGAAAAACAACATTGATCTAGTGGAAATTATTAATCTCAATATATATGCACACAATACAACGAGCCCTCCTACCCTACCTTTTACAAATTTGCCGTGTTTTGTACCCGTAATGGTGCATGTATCCCTGTAACGTAGGTTTATATAGTTATACTGAAATCATAACTCTATAAAACCATAGGAGAACTGGAGTTCTCTTTTTTTATTTTACTGCCCACTAGGCCACTAATAAACTGAAACCAATGTTCTAAAATTTGATTGTGTGTTCTCAACTTAACTCTCCATGCATGTGATTGTTATACTTGAGGACAATGATATTCTTGGATGGTAGCATATTTGTCTCTGCTATCTTCCATTATGATCTAGAAGTGAAAGAATTGGATCAGTTTATTGAATTGTATTGAGTTTCAGCTCCATTTGTCCTTCGAAGGCTATAGTAAATGGGTATTACACAATTGGAATATCTCTCTAAAGAAATAAAAATAAATATTATATTTTCCTATTTTGTTGGGAAAGAATGCTTGAAGGTAACTTGACGGACAGACATATATGTTACAATGTGTTGTATTGTATCCTCCAAGAATGCAATAAAGCATACATTGGTATGGTATGAGCTCTTTGATTCATAGAAAGCAATGAATCCTAGTATTTTTAGTGCTGATTTGATTCTTCTAGACCTGGCTAACAGCAAAAAGTATTGGAATTTTCATTTTATTTCGATTTTTTATACAATGGAGACTAGAGCAATGTGTTTTTGATGTTGCACTAAATATTGTACAATACTTCTCTTTTTCAAATCAGAATGTTCTGTAAGAAATATCTTTGTGACTGTTCGCGGTGAAAATTGTAGTTTTCATTGAAGTCATTGTCATCTTGAATAACAACTTTTTGAGTTACAAAAGATCCGGTCTTTTTTAGATCCGGTTACAACGAAATCAAAGAAAAAAAAATTACAACTTTCTCCTTTTGAACAAATCGCGAGCTCCTGTTTTGCGGTCGCTCGCTTTGTGTGGGTTCTTTGCCGACGCCGGGGTTAATCCGTGGACCACCGCGCGATCTAGATCCGGTCGGATCTACACGATTGGACGGGTATTATTCCGCGAAGGGAATAATAGTCGGGGAGGATTAGTTCACCAAGGAAATAATCGTCCAAATCTCGGGATCAAAGGCCAAGCTTTGATCCGGAGTGTAGTTTCGTGTAGATCTTAGATCTGATTTTTACCTCTCGAACACCTGCCTTTTGTGACGTGGACGCTCGCCGAGAATCAGATCTGAATCTTCAAGTCCTCAAGTCTTCAAAACTCTAAGCTCGATCTTCAATTCGACAGAGTTTCGGCTCTTAAAGTTCTAACCTTTTCAAATGAACAAAGGGGAGCCTATTTATAGGCTCTCTGAACTGTGCCCGCGCACGGATCTGGGTCGGCCACCCATGGGTGGCCGGCACTGGGCCGAGCCACCCATGGGTGGCTGTCCGAAATTGATCTTGATTCGATCGTGATTCGTCCGAGTCCGCTCTCGGTTGGATGACTCGTTGATTCCTCAACTCATTAGCTTGATTCTGCACGCGGGTGGATTCATTCCGTTGTTCGCGTGCGATTTGTCGATCTCGTCGCCTCGTTGGTTCGTCGGTTTGTGCCGAGCTATGCTAGGGGACCTATAAGCAATTTTATATGCCTACAGATACCCCCTCCAAAGTATTTCAGTCTCGTTCTTTTATAGAAGAGTCTGGAATATTTTGGATATGCTTGTCCCAACCTTCAGTCGGTGTAACGGGACCTTGGAATGGCTTCTGTTCTTGATTCCTTCAATCCTTCAGGCTATTCGGTGCTTTGTCGAATGTCTGTAAGGGTTCCGGTGCTGCATTTATTGTCTGACCGTTTGTCGGAGATTTTGAACCTTGAAGTCGATTCCTGATTTTTGATTTTCAGCTCGTGGGATTGACCATCGATTGCTGGCGTCGAGTTTTTTATGTGCAACGCGTTGTCCGGCGTTGTGTTGTTGAGTTATCCTTAAGAATATTTATAAAAATATTCTCCAGGAACTTCTCAACCAAAAATAGGGAATAGTTTATACTCATATACCTTATTGGAGTATTAAGAAGCAGTTTATACTCGTATACTTTTCGGAGTATTAAGAAGCAGTTTATACTCGTATACTTTTCGGAGTAAGATGGAGAAGCAGTTTATACTCGTATACTCATCGGAGTCTTAAGAAGCAGTTTATACTCTTATACTTATCGGAGTGGTGCCGTTCTTAACTGGCTTACTCTAGCGTTATGACGCCGGCTTCAACCAAAGTCTGGATACTATTCTTTAAAGTAAAGCAGGCCTTGGTGGGATGAAGGTGATAGATCTAAATCAAAACTTGAGATCTAAAACCATATAGCCATGATTAATTCAAAGAGATTAACAATAATCAAAAGAGCGGAAGCTTATACCTGAATCCATGGATGAAATCTTGATTTGGGTTTTTGATGATCTTCTAACCTTAGGGTTTCTCTAAATCCGAATTTCTCTAGCTAGATGGGGGTGTAGAGAATTAGAGAATGTAACCCTAGGTTAGGGACCATAACCCCTTATTTATAGATGTTGTACTTTTGTAATTTAGCCCCTCAATAAATCACAATTACAACCTGGTATCTGCACATATAACCCCATGATTATATTTAAATACCCATTAACCCAACTTAATTAATCACTTCAGTGAGTTATCCTGAAAGATAGCAATACACATTGATTAATCATATGTGCCCACAATTAGAATTATTAGATTAAATCCAACAATCTCCCACTTGGGCACCATATGATTCCTTAAATTGTGTATAACCTTATGAGCTCAAAAAATGTTATCACTGAAAAGGTATTTCCGAACAATCTCATCCATTGACTATATCAATATAGGATCAAAGCGGCCTTCGTCACATTTATCGTGACTCGACCCATCAATGGTCACATATACCAATACAATCAAACGACATAGATCAATCATGGATGTGCAGCATGAAAATTACATGCAATGTGATCAGTACATGTCTATTTTCAACTGGTCCTCCTTAGTGAGGTCAAAACCAAACATAATGTAACAGAGTGTCTTAACTGAATACTTTATTCTGATCAGACAATACAACCAAACATAAAGCACCACAATTACAAACTCCCACTAAAACATAATATCCTCAAATAATACCACACCCATATGAGCAGTATGCTCATGAAAGACCTTAGGTGGCAATCCCTTAGTAAGAGGATCAGCTATCATGGAGTTTGTCCCAATGTGCTCTATGGATATCTGTCCACTCTGTACCCTTTCTTTCACAACCAGGAACTTAATGTCAATATGTTTTGACTTAGTTGAGCTCCTGTTGTTATTGGAATACATTACTGTAGATTTATTGTCACAATATAGCCTTAGTGGTCTTTCAATATTTTCCAAAATGCGCAGTCCCGTGACAAAATTTCGCAGCCATATTTCCGAACTTTTCATGGCCTGAGAGAAGTTGATTGGATCATCTTCTAACATTCCACTACTTTCCTCATGTTCTTGGAGAAATACAATATAATCATCCGGAATAGCATTTCTCCTTTCTCTCGTGGATCTCCTTAATGGCACTGGTTCTTGAGGTTGTTGAGTTTGTTCTTCTGGAACAGGGAGTTGTTCAACATTATCATCTTGAGGTTCCGGATTTACTTCTTGAGCAACAACAGGTATAGGAACCTGAATATTGTCAAAAGTAACTGTATGGATTGGATCTGAAGCCAATTCCTCCTCAAAACTAATGTCTCTAACCTTATTTCTCCCCCCAAACTCAACATCCTCAAAGAATGTTGCTGTTCCCGTCTCAAAAATGTTCCTTATAGTGGGATCATAAAACTTAAAGCCCCTAGAGCGTTCAGAGTATCCAATAAAGTAGCTGCTAACTGTTTTGGAGTCCAATTTCTTTTCATTTGGCCTATAAGGCCTTGCCTCAGCTGGACATCCCCAAATATGTAAATGCTTTAAACTGGGCTTTCGACCAGTCCAAAGCTCATAAGGTGTTTTAGCAACTGCTTTACTTGGTACTCTATTCAGAATGTAAGCTGCTGTCTTAAGTGCTTCTCCCCAGAGTGACTCTGGTAAAGAAGAATGAGCAATCATACTTCTTACCATATCCTTAAGAGTCCTGTTTCGTCTTTCAGCTACACCATTCATGCTAGGTGAACCCGGCATGGTGTACTGTGGGACGATACCGTATTCCTCTAGGTATCTAGCAAATGGTCCTGGACGTTGTTCACCTGAACCATCATATCTACCGTAGTACTCACCACCACGATCAGATCTGACGGTTTTAATTCTTCTGTTGAGTTGATTCTCAACTTCAGCTTTATAGGCTTTGAACATGTCCAGAGACTCAGATTTTTCATGAATAAGATATAGGTGCCCATAACGTGAGTAATCGTCTATGAATGATATAAAATATTGTTGACCATTCCAGGATTCCGTAGGGAATGGCCCACAAATATCCGTATGTATCAATTCTAAGACATCCGAAGATCTG